TTTAGTCCGTGAATATGTGTGTGTGTGTGTGTAGTGTGAAGGACGTATACTATAAGGTACCAAAGGGAAAAGAGGGCTCGGATTTGAATTATATATTTAAATTAATTTTATTTATTTTATTTTATGTGTATGAGTGTATTGCCTGCATGTGTGTAAGTGCACCCATGTTGTGCAATGCCCATGGAGGTCAGAAGAGAGTGTCAGGTTCCCTTGGAACTGGAGTTATGGATGGTTATTAGCCACCATGCAGGTACTGGGAATTGAACCTGGGTTATTTCCAAGAGCAGCCAGTGCTCTTAAGTGCTGAGCCATCTTTCCAGCCCAGCTTTGAATTATCTTACAGAGACTTTTTAAAATGTCAAAATATTGGCATTCTAGTTGCACGGTTGAGAGAACGCACTCACCTGTGAGAGTTGGACACCCTCAGAAGCAACCTTACTCCACTGCAAATAGCCAACTTCACTGCGGGTCAGGACTCCATGTAACGTTTCCTGAAACTTTCCGTTCTCACAACCATTGAAGACATTTGGACTTGCTCTCCCAGTCAAAATCAGGTTTAGAACCGCCTAGATGGTATATTTCACAAATATTACATTTTAGGTAGCAATTAAATGCAATTTTTTTTTCTTAAAAAAAAAATCATAAAATGGGCCAGGGATACAGCTCAGTGGTAGAGTGCTTGCCCACCATACCCAAGGGCCTGAATTTGATCCCCAGCACCAAAAGGTGAAAAATCATTTAAGGTGCCCATTTCTACAGAAAAGAATGAAGCCATGCAAACATAATTGTGGAAAAAATATCTATGTGTTGCGCATTTGTAGAGTTAGAACAATATCCTACTGATTTTTTTCTTTTTCTTGAGATGTTTCTCCTCCTGGCATTTCATTGTGCTTCTCTTTACATTTCTTTTAAAAATGTGGTTTCCATTGCTGCAACTTGTGAGGCACCGAGCTAAAATGTTTTTATGGCACCTCTCTCAAATATTGGAGATCACTGGTGAGTCTTGTCAAGATATTTTCTAATGTTTCTAGGATCTCGGGGATACCAACCTCTTAGAAGTAAGCTAGAAAGGACCGTGGAAAACAGAAGGTGGAGTTTGACAGCAACGGTTCATCTTACAAACACATGATCAGGTTTTGCTGAAGGAGAGAATTGCTTATGTAAAAAGTAAGCCTGATTCAGATTCCAAAATAGAAAGGCGACGTCTTCTCACCCACCTGTCTGCACAGGATGCCTCCAGCATGGGGTTGCAAGAGATGAGTGGTGGTGATATCCAGGTCACTCTGCAGCCTACAGAATGGGAGAAGCCATCAGCATCCGGTCGGAAACAATGATCATACCAGACGAGGAGGCAGCAACATGGGCATTGCGCATGCCCTGCAGTTCTCCACATGTTACAGAGATGTCTCCTAGGACCAGGGATGCAGAGGTGATGGGGAAGTGACACTTTGCATGGAGAAGTGATGGAGGAGTGGTGAGGGAGGAAGGAGAAGACACAGACAGCTCATATAAGAGTCTTCGTGTGTGCTCTGGGAGGTGCTGGGCTCCCAGAGAAGCTACTTGTCCTGCATGACAGGGATATTTGGCTGACAGTGGTGACACATGACCACTCCAGAGAGTGCTATCTCAAGGCAGGGCTGACCCAGACTATCAAATGGAAACCACCAGAGTCTCTGTGACTTAATGAACAAAGGCCAGAGGTTAGTTGTGCCCTTGACTGTATAAAGTGACCCCTTGGCTCTGTGGTCAACTGGGGAAAGGTATGAGTACTGACATGGAAACAGTGTGTACTCTTGAGTGAACTTATTCATGGGATGACTACAAAGCATGTTGTTCTGTGAATGACACCTAAACATTTGGACCAAGATTGATGAGTGTCTTGGTGATGTCAGATACAACTCAGGACAGTGTTCCCCCAAATGTAGTATTTATAAGGTACTATATTATTAGCATTTAAAATTTTTAATAAACCAAGCTTTGAGACCAGCCAGGGCAACTTAGTGAGAATATACTTCAAAATAAAAAATAAAAATAAAACACCTTTAACCGTTGGGTATTGTAACTCAGTGGTAGAGCTTGACTCAAATATTTGTAGTGTTGGGTTCTAACCTAAGCACACACACACAATTTATAGTGATATGTTTATCTAACTTTTTTGGTCTTTTTGAGACAGGGTCTCCCTGTAGCGCCTTCTGACCCAGATCTCACTATGAAGACCAGGCTGGAGGTCAAAGGACAACTTGTGGGAATTGGTTCTCTCTGTCTACCATGTTGTTTCCGGGGATGGAACACAGGTCAGTATGGTGACAAGCACCTTTGTGGCAGCTCCCTAGCCCTCTTTTTGCTATTTTGAGATAGAGTCCTACTAAGTTGCCCTGTCTGGACTTAAACTCACCATCTAGCCTGGGAAGAAGACCTTCAACTTGTTCTGAATGGCTGTGTTCAGAGGCCTGCTCCACCAAGGCATATCCTAGCACATTGTATCTTTATCATAGCAAACGACTTAAATAATTGGCTTATTTATAAATGTTGAAGAAAATATTAATGGATATGAATTGGCAGAATATTAGTACTTAGAAACAGAATAAATGCTGATTCAAATAAATTTATTAACCAAATGGTAACACCATAAGAATGTGATAGGTGAGGCTGGAGAGATGGCTCAATCAAGCGCTTCCTGCTCTTCCAAAGGAGCTGAGTCTGGTTTCCAGCCCCCAAGTCAGGCAGCTCACAACTGCCTGTAACTCAAGGTCCAGGTGATCTGACACTCTTGGCCTCCGTGACTGCCTTCACTCACTTGCACAGGCCCATGCACAAATACACACGCCACATACGCATAAATTTAAAAATTGTTTTTAAAGGTGATAGTCATATTTAAAAGAAAAATTTGAGGAACAATGATTCAGGGCTTGTAATTCTGCCCACCTGGGGGCCTCTTTCTTTTCCTCTGACTCTCAAAGGCGTGCCTTCCTTTCAGAGCCCAGAAGGAAGCCTCCCTCTTTCTTGAAGTTTCCTCTGCATACTGCATCCTCCAGGATCTTCCTTCCTCTGGAATCCACTAGGACACGTTATTCTTATACCACTTTCGCCATGTCAGGTGGTATCTGTCTTTCCCGGAGTAGAACATGCCTGAGATCAGAGCCTCATCTTCTCTCTCTTATTTCTGTGTCCTGTAGTGCTAAGAACAGGACTTTGCACCTCACAGATACAAAACGACACATCTGATGCTGTATTTTATTGTGGCCCCAAATAACAACACATTGACAAAAATACTTGACAAAAGACATCTCCTTGCCCATTCACACGGCCAAACCAGGTAAAGAAAAGGACATGTCACAGAGCAGCCACTGGATAAAACATCTCACTCTTCCGTTCCTAACACGAGAGGAGAACATTTTCCTACCCTAGTCCTCATTTGTGTTCCCAATCCTGTAGACAATTCCCACACAGACACCTGTAGAATTTACCTCTCAAATGTTCTGGAGAAGATCAGGCTGTAGAGGAACAGGAGGACACCATGGCTTCCTTCCCCTTTGAACTGTGAAGAACAAGGAAAACCCTGCAGATACAGCTCAAGCCTGTGGCTACACCTTCAGTCTTGGGTCTGGGTGATGTCCTCATCCCTCCCAGCTACTAGAACAGTGCGGCTGTCTCTGCTTCCTTTTCTTGTCGTATTTTCTTGTTTTGTTTATGTGTTTCAATGTATATTTTTATTGAATTTTTAAAAAATAGTTTATTATTTTTATTCTATGTGTATGAGTGTATTGCCTGCATGTATGTGAGTGCACCCGTGTCATGCAATGCCGCAGAGGTCAGAAGAGAGCTATGGATTCCCCTGGAACTGTAGTTAAGGATGGTTTGTAGCCACCATGTGGGTGCTGGGAATCGAACCCGGGTCCTCTTCAAGAGCAGTCAGTGCTCTTAACCGCTGAGCCATCTCTCCAGCCCAATTGTATTGAATTTTTTTTTACTTCATGCAAAATACCTTAATCATTTTTATACCCCCTCCTCCATCCAGTCCCCTGTACATCCCCCCCCCATATTTCATGCATTCTGTCATATATGTTTTAAGGTCTATCCAGTCAAGTTTGTGTACCCAGATGTCCCTTAATGCAAGTTCATCCACTGGAGTCTAGTCAGCCTGTGTAGAGTCTCTCCCTTAAAGAAGATCAGCTCTCCCTCAGCCAGCAGTAATCAGCTGCCAATAGTTCTTTGGCTAAGGCTGGGGCCTGCTACCGGCCATTTCCCCAGTTCTCTGCTGGGTTTTGTCTGACTGAGTCTGCATGGGTCTTACACATGCTGACACCACTGCTGTAAGTTCTTGACAGACTTGTATTCAAAGACAGTTTTCTACTCATTAGCTTCTTTGAATTTCAGTCTCCTTTGGTTTTATCTTCAACTGAAAGTAAAAATAACATTTTCCTGGAATTTTTTTGCAAAGGTTAGATGAAATAATTAATGTACAGTACCTATCTTGGTTCTTGGAACATTCTAGATCCAAAGCATAGACTCTATGCCCATTAAGGCCCTTCTCCCCACTCTCTCTGTTTGGAAAGACTGCTGTCCTGCTTAGCACTTTCAAAGGTAATTTGTGACCCACATCCAAACTGACAAAATGCAGGGCCTCTCAGAAGCTGGCTCTTTCTTAGCTCTCTGTCAGTCTCCTTGCTGCAAAACAGCTCCACTGCGGGCCTTCCAGGTGCCCAGGGTTAAAGCCTCTTTTGAAGGCGCTGAATCAGGAAGGTTTTGGTAAGGCACTTTGCTCTCCTTTCATGGATTAATTGGTCCACATTGCTATCTGTAACCTAGCAGAAAGGAGAACCTTCAGGCAGGAGGACAATTTCCAGTGTCATAGGAGGTAGACAAGAATTCAAATGAGTGTTCCGCTGGGTGTGAGAGAGATAGGCAGACTGAGGCAAACTGAGAAGCATTTGTGGATTAGTTACTCAATTGCTGCTGTAACTGCCACACAGTTGGTAGCTAAACCAACACTGAGTTGTGAGCTAACAGTTTTGGAGGTTTAAGCCTAGCATGGCTCTTAATAGCCACAACTGAAGTGACTAGAAACTTCTGTTTCATCAGGAGGTTCTAAGAGAGACTGGGTTTTTCTAGCTTCTAGAATCTATCCTTATCTCTTACTCAAGACCCTCCACCTACTTGCCCCAACCATCTCTCAAACTCCCTCCCTCTCTCCATTGTAACCCTATGATTAATTAGACCACCCAGAGTCAGCTCCTCATCTTAGGTCCCTAATCACACCAACAAAGTCCCTTTTACCGTGTAGTAACATATTCACTAGGGCATGGCTCTCATGTCACAACTTGTCTGTTGGGATTAGCTGCCGCCTCCTACCTGTCAGTTAACTGAAGATGTGAGAGTATAAAGCTCAGTGTCAAGCCAGATTTTCCGGGACAAGGCGAAATTCCAGGATTTGAATGTGGAATTTCCCGATTACTTTTGACATTCACAGATTCAAATGGAAGGAAATGTAACACACTTGGGCTAGTGCTGCAGATCATAGGTGATAGGTGTATTGATTTTCTAGAGCTGTTGTTCCACATTATCAGAAATTTGCATATCCTAAAACAGTAGACTTCTATCTTCTCACAGTTCTGGAGCCTGGAAGTCTGAAATGGAGACACAGAGTAGGGCTTTGCTTTCTTCCTTCACATTTCTTGGCTTGTAGGCCCATCTCTGCTTTGGCTAGATCGTGGCGTTCTTCCTGTGCAGCAGTATGCAAATTTATAGAACACCAGTCACTGGATTCCAGCTCACCCTCATCCAGTAGGCCCTCTTCTGAACTTGAATGCCCCGTTTTCAAAGAAGGACATATTCCCAGGCACTTCAATCTGTGTTTGTAAGGCAAAAGGCGGGAAGCTAGGACCTCAGTATTTCCTTTGAGGAGACACAATTCACTGACAGAGGAGTCTTCCTGCTCTCAGGCACTTCTCAGATCTCTAGCTTGAAACTTCTAGGTGGAATGCAATAGATAGCAGACGCATTTCAATGGGAAGTAAGGTTTGATCAAGGAGTGTTGATTACAATGTGCAGCTCCACCTGAGGGAATACTCTTGAGAGGAGCTTAGCTTATGTGCCACCAAGCTCCCCCTCACTGGGGAACTGGAACAAACCCTTGCTGACTGGGGCTGGGGTCACGGTCGGTCAACTTGGGTTGGTTTGGCACAGGTGGCTCTCGTATCTAGTCCTCCTGTCATGTGGATTCCGCTTCTCCTTAGGGCCCTTACTATCTATTCCAGCGCAGCTCTTAGTCTCTGGTGGGGAAGACTGTGTATACCGATCCTCCGACCTCAACCCTGTCTGCATTAATTTAACTGAGACCATCTAGCAAGGATGTCTCTAAGTACTCATGCCCAAGTTTTCTGCCTGTGTTGCTTTTGCAAGGTGCGTGGTCCATAAATCACACCCCTGCCCATGTACTCTATAGCAGTATGGCTTCATGATTAGCTGGCTAATTGTCTTCTGCCTACATAATATTGTAGCTTTCTGATTCTTCAGAAAATCAGTTTTCACTTTTTTCTCTTCAGACAGTCTTTTGAAAGCACCTTCCATTTTTCTACCATAATTTTCCACTACATTGTCCCCTCCTCACCCAGGGTGGGGAAGAATGAACACTGTGTGGAAGGCACCCTTAGAAGAGGCGAAAAGAGGTGAAAGGGGACCACCTTTCTAAGGCCAAATGTTACTTACTTGAAGTCAGTATGAATAGTCTTTGGGCAGCTTAGTTTTCTTCCATTTTTTTTTTTTAATCCATTAGATAAAGCAAGCCTGCTTTAACATTTTCTCTTCCCACAAAAGAAATCCTGGTATATGGTCTATAAAGCATTATTCTCTAGGACTGATTAGCCAGTGAAAAAGAGGCATTTATGAGTGGTCTCTCTGTGATCCGGCCTCTTTCTAGTTGTGGGGAAGGAAAGGCAGGCTTCTCTTTCTCTTGTTCCGCCCTTTCTTAGCCCTCAAAATGACCTGGTTTTCTTAACAAGCATCATTAGAAATATGCTTTATAAAAGAAAGACGATCCCTGCAAGATCAATTCAACAGAAAGGAATTATCTCAGCATTTAAACACTTACACATCGTAAATGATCATAGATGAATTTCTCAGTAGCTTCTTTCTCTGAAAGTTCAAACAGCTGGAGCTACAAATCAGAAGGAGAAGATAAAAACTAAACGGAAGATGAAAGACTCCCCCAAGAAATATCACTTCACTGTGATTACCTCAAGGGAATTTTTTTTTGTTTCGTTACAAAACCACATTGCTAAAAACTGACACGTTATCTAACACAAGGCCACATAAAACAGACACGGTAAACCGGTGGCAACAGCGGTGGTGTCCCTTGCTTTTAGATCGATAGGATTATCTTGAACAATAAGACCATAAGCAGATTTTTGTTCCCCTGATAGAGTTTAGCTATCTTTAAGATAGTGGAAATAGGAATGCAGTTTATGATGGTATCAGTCGTGGGGGTTTATGTGTATGTGTGTGTGTGTATTGCTGCAGATCAAACCCAGGACTTTCCACATGTACTGCTAAGCTACATTGCAGCCCACCAGCCCAGAAGTAAGATACTCTTAATCAAAGAGAAATTCACCATGGCAGCCGCTTTCAGTCACTTCCGGCCCTTAGTGCTTGGCTCTTTGGAAGATGCTCAGGGCACAGTGGGCTTTGCTCACATGCACCTTCAAGCGTCACTGGCTGTGTATTTAACAGAATGGGTGGAGTGCACTTACCCTCTCAATGAAATCATTCCTGGAGTGGTCAACAGTTGAGGTGCTGTGAGTATCTCTGGTGATGAGACAGATGGTGGCCTTCTGAGCTGCTCCTGCTGCCCAGAGGAGATCAGCCAGCACTGCAGCTAGCACATGCTCCTGCTCCCGCTGGCTCAGGTTACATAAACTGCAACGCAGGAGACACCATTGCAACGGACAACCTGGCCTCCAGTGAGTATTACATTCCCTTCAAATATGGGGGATGCCTGATTGGTTCCCTTTTCAGACTGCAATGTCAGAATGCTGCAGAGGGGTCTGGTCTCTGCAGTGACTATAACTGGAGTCCTCATGGGATACTGTATCTTAGTAACATCAACCAGTTGGTTCACTCGGTGCACTCCTTCCCCAACCAGCACAGCCCTGTTTTCTGTTCCTGAACTCTAAAATGGGTCATCCTGAATGCATTAGCCAACTAACACAGGCATATTCAAGCTCAACCCCAAATGATCCTTGTAGTTTCATCCCCTAAGAGTTCACTTTGCAAACCTTTTTCCCACATAGCACTCCTGTGCCTTTCCCTTGGGCGCTCGTACCTTCCATTTTCATATCCTGCCCTTCCACCATATTACAGTTTGTATATCATAGAGGTCTGCTTACAAATCTGCAGTCACTCAGCCAGCGCTGATGGCAGAGTACTCCACACATAGGACACCATTTAATATACAACACGGTGGCACAGACTATTCTTCCTCTTATTTTAGAGGTAAGGGGAGCAAAGCACAGAGAGGTTTAACAGCTGCTCTGGACCCTCCCCTTTACGACGAGAGAGTGCTGATTTGAGCTCAGGTCATCTGCATCCCGAGCTCCTGCTTCCCCCTTACACTGAGCAGAGTACCTTGAGCACCTCCAACTTTTCTGGAAAACGAGAGCAATCCTTCCTCTAGTTATTCTCTCAAAATGTAACAGTGATCGCACAAGACAAAGGTCACTGGTGAGCTCAGTCGTGATTTATATAGTTCAATGAGCTCTTTGATGAGACAGAAAAACTACAAGACTCTAGCACAAGGTAGAATGATAGAAAGACCAAGTGCTATAGTGGGGGAGAGGGAACTTGTGACTGGGGAGGTTCAGGAAGGCTGTGTGGAACAAGTCTCCCAGAGCAGCAACTCTTTCATATTTATTTAGTATTGGCCACAGGCCAGGTGGTAGGCTATGTGCTTATATAGCAAATGGATATGTGTTTTATTTGAGATCCTGTTTACTCATATCTTGGGTAAAAGATACTACTATCTACCGATACTACTATCAGGCCCATCTACTTTGGGTCCTGTTGTTTGTGACTCCTAGTTTTCAATTTTCTCTAAAATATTGGAGTCTCTTTACTCAGGAATGACTAGAAATGATGGCCTGTGGATGGCCCAAAGGGATGGCTGGTTGGGGTGGGAGGCACAGAAACCTGCCCCCTTAACTAAGGACAGCTGGGGCTACAAGGAGACCCTGTCTCAAAAAGACAAAAAAAAAGTGTTGGGTGTCAAGTCACCCTTTTGAGTACTGATCACAGTCCCTTACCTGTGAAAGTCAGAGTCTTTTCCCTTCCTAGTGAACAACAAGTTTTTGATGATAAATCCTTGTATAGCCATTTGAATGCCTTGGGCACCTCCCTGAAATGGGTAAAATGAGCAGTTAAATATGAAGGCTGGATCTCAGCTTTACCATTTGTGCTGATTAGTTTTTGTCAACTTGGCACAAATTAGAATCATCCGGGAAGAGGAATTTCCTCCATCAGACTGGTCTGTGGGCATGTCTGAGGAGTATTTTTTTTTAATTGCTAATTGATGTAGGAAGGCTGAGCCCACTGTGGGTGGTGCCATCCCTGAGCAGGTGGGTTTGGGCTGTATCAGAAGGGAAGCTGAGCAAAGCCAGACAAAGCAAGCTAGTAAATAACATTCCTCCATGTCTCTGCTTCAGCTCCTGCCTGCATGTTCCTGCCTTGAGTTCCTGCCTTGGCCTCCCTTGATGATGGGCTGTGAGCTATAAGCCAAATAAACCCTTTCCTCCCTAAGTTAATTTTGGTCAGTGTTTTATCACAGCAACAGAAAGCAAACTAGGGCACCATTCTAGTAGAATCTTTGGGGCCAACATTACAAGAGAGGACTCTTGGAAATGGATGTGGTTATTTGCTTTTCTCTGCAACTTCTCATCTGGGTGTCCCCCATACTCCCTATGGGCTATAGCTGGGTGTCATCCTAAACTAGAGTCGACAGTGACTAGCTTCCTATGGAGTACTTACTTAGCCTGGTGCCTGAAGAGTAAAGTCTCCTCCATCCTGCCAGCACTTCATCCTTTCATACCATACCTTTATATTTGTAGGAGGTAAGAAAGTAGAGTTGGCTAGCTCCTGAAATTTAGGTGTGACTAGTGAGTTACGGCATGGATTATTGATATTTCAAACAAGCCAGAAAGAATTTCTAGATTCCCTTCTGCTTTGTGAATCTTTAGGTACGCTTAACACTTGGAGAGAGCACAATACAACCGGAGTTTAGAAGGGAGGTTGGGGAGACTAAGGAGATGGGAACTTGGTTATAGCTTAATATGTGGTAATTTTCAAAGTCATTTATCATTTACGGTTAAATTTTAAATTGTATATGTGATGCTAGACAGCGTCAGTTGTCACCTTGACAACCTGGGAAGAGGGATCCTGAACGGGGGAATTTCTCCTACTGGATTGGCCTGAAGGCCTGACTGTGAGGCATTTTCTTGATTGTTGAGTAATGCCGGCAGACCAACCCGCTGTGCGTGGCGCCACCCCTGGGCAGGTGGTCCTGAGTGGTATAAGAAAGCAGGCTGAGCACGGACCAGAGGAGCGTGAGGCATTTTCTTGATTGTTGAGTAATGCCGGCAGACCAACCCGCTGTGCGCGGCGCCACCCCTGGGCAGGTGGTCCTGAGTTGTATAAGAAAGCAGGCTGAGCACAGACCAGAGGAGCAAGCCAGTAAGCAGCATTCCTCCGTGGTCTGTGCTTCAGCGTCTGCCCCAGGTTCCTGCCCTGTTTGAGTTCCTGCCTTGGCTTCTCTCACTGATGGACTGTGATCAGGACACATAAGCCAAATAAATCCCTTCCTACCCAGCTTGGTTTTGGTGAATGTTTCATCACAGCAATGGAAAGCAAACTAGGACATTAGGATTTCTACATATGATTGTAACCAAATCATGCATAAACATGGATGTTGACAGGAAGGAAACAGATAAGCAAGACGAGATTAGGAATTTTTTAAAATTATGAACTGAAAAAAAAAAAAACCCCATGAACTGGCTATTACCTTTTCTACTTCTAAAGCAAAAGCCAGGTCAGAGAAAGGAGCGTGAAACTTGAAATGTGCCTTTCTCCAGTCACTGCTGAGGACAGGGACAGTGTTTCCAAAGAGGCTGTGTCTCAGCATCTGAAAAGGGGAAGTAAATGATCCAACCAAAGTTAACTCTTCCTGGACATACCTTCCTGGTGAAGCCATCAAGGTGGACCTTGTTCCCGCTTATACTCAGATTTCCATGGTACCTAGGTTCCATGTATACAATGCAACATGTATACAATCATTTAATTGTATAAATTCCTAGCAAAGCTTTCATGTCGGGTTCTTTAGGACACTTTATCCTGAAGGCTCAGTGGGTCTGGATTTGTCTCCATGCCTCACTTCCACCACCAGCCAAGGCTGCCTTGTGGTCCAGCATGTGCCACTGTTCTGTCCTGTGCCTCTTGTCTCAGTATCTATGATTCTGTAGTCTCCGCCTCTCCCATCTTCAGGTTTTTCTCTTTGATCCCAGGGGGAAAAAAGGAACAGACAAGACTTCATATTTCTGTCTTCGGTATAACAGTGATTTCAGTGATATTAAATAAGAAATCTTGTCCCAGAATCTTTGATGTTTTCCTGGGTACTTTATAGCACATTGAACTCTATGAAGATCTTTTTAAAAATTTATATTTATTTTGTGTATACGTGTATTGCCTGCATGTAGGTAAGTGCACTGGTGTCCTGCAATGCCCGCGGAGGACCAAAGAGGGTGTCAGATCCCCTGGAACTGGAGTTACAGACTGTTGTTAGCTGCCGTGTGGGTGCTGGGATTCAAACCCAGGTCTTCTGCAAAAACAGTCAGTGTTCTTAACTACTGAGCCATCTCTCCAGTCCCAATTTTCATGTTTTTTGCATAAAGGAATTTGTTACATATTTAGCATTTTAATATTCATTTATACATAAAAGAATTTGTCATATTAGATTGCCT